AAACCCTAAACCCTAAACCCTAAACCCTAAACCCTAAACCCTAAACCCTAAACCCCGGGGCGTTTGGACCCTGCAAGGGGTGATCTGACGTATAGGCATGTGCGACAACCTGGAGGGGGGCTTGTGGGTAATTCAGCTGTGGGTTGCCCCGCAGGTGCTGAACCCTATAAACCCTAAATCTTTATAGGGTTTAGGGGTTGGGGTTTAGGGTTTAGGGTTTGGGGTTTAGGGTTTAGGGTTTAGGGTTAGGGTTAGAGTGATGGGGGGCCGGGGTTAGAGGATCCCGTGAGAAGACATGCCATCTGGCACCCGCCCAGGATCCAGCGCGCCTGAGATCCTGCTGTCCATCATCGAGCTGCTGGGCAATGAGGCATGCCGACAGCCTGTTGCGCTGTGCACTTTCACTCCCTGGTGCACCCTAAACCCTAAACCCTAAACCCCAAATCTAAACCCTAAACCCTAAACCCTAAACCCTAAACCCTAAGCCCTAGAACAAATCGAGCCCTGGATAACTTCAGTCCCGACCGGGGCCCTCAGAAACCTCAAGCGCACGTCTGGAGCCTTGTAGGCCCCACAAACCCCAGGCCCCCCCCCCCCCCCCCCCCCAAAAAAAAGAATAGAGCTCAAGATGCTTCTTCGAAAGCTAAACCCTGAACCCCGAACCCCGAACCGCTAAACCCTAAACCCTAAACCCTAAACCCTAAACCCTAAACCCTAAACCCTAAACCCTAAACCCTAAACCCTAAACCCTAAACCCTAAACCTTGCGGTCTTGGACTTCTCTTCCTTGGAAGGTTTTTGCTGGCGACCTCGGCCCGTCTGGCAGCTCAGAGTGCGCAGAGCGACGAGAGGAGGCTCTGTAGTTGGCGGACCCTCGAAGCACGGTGTAGGGTTTAGGGTGTAGGGTTTAGGGAAACCCTGACACCCTGAACGATCGTATGCACCCTTTCTCTCCCCCCCTTTTTTTATGCCCATTCACCGCAATCCCTGAACCAAAAGAAGCTCCTCACCGAAAGACCCAAACCCAGAATCAGGATCTGAACTTGCGTAGGCCACATAGATAGACGATTGGAGTGTCACAACGCAGCACCTCTGTTTGTGGACGCCGAGCCCTATGAAAAGTCATGCGACTCTACCCAAACCCGCAACTCTCAAACCTGAATCCCTTTTTTGCCCAGTGACTCCCAAGGTCTACCCTAAACCCTAAACCCTAAACCCTAAACCCCCTAAACCCCCTAAAACCACTAAACCCTAAACCCTTTCCTGCCCAGTGATTGCCGAGGTCCACCATTGTTGGCAGTGCCGCCTTCAACCTATTTATCATTAGCGCCGTCCGGCTGGCGATGCTTCAGATCAAGGGTTTAGGGTTTAGGGTTCAGGGTCTAGGGTTTAGGGTTTAGGGTTAGGGTTTCGGGTTTAGGGTTTAGGGTTTCGGGTTTGGGGTTTAGGGTTTAGGGTTTAGGACTCAAAGGTTTAGGGTTTTTTGTACAGATGCTCTAAAGGAATGTAAGGACCATACTTGGAGTAGTTTAAGGGAAGCTCTTGGGGGTTTTGGGTTTAGGGTTCAGGGTTTAGGGTTTAGGGTTTAGGTACAACCAGGGGTCCGAGTATGACTCCAAGCATGTATCACTTTCACAGTGAAGACCTTGCCCTGTGGGCGTTCCTGAACCCCCACAGCACACCTGACTCCGCCCCCCCCTAAACCCTAATCCCTAAACCCTAAACCCTAAACCCTAAACCCTGAACACATAGACGTAGAGTCCTCACCCATCCTGCGTCCTGCGCTGTGTGGCGACGGCCAGCCTTTCTTCTTTCCGACTAGGTTTGCAGGCTTTGGGGGTTATCGAATGCGACATCACACACGTTTCATGGGTAACGCAGTTTCTGTAAGTATTGGCCGGAATTGCTGATTTTCCTTTGTGCTCACTCTGCCAAAATGGCCGCTCTTTTTGCGCAAGAAATCCAAGAAACGGGATTCAGAGAAACGTGCGGAAAGCACCATCAACATGTCTAAACACTTGGCTTTTCCCACGCCAGCACCCCGTCAGGTTTCATGAGCCTAATCGGGTTTCTTAGTTTTCTCTCCGTGAAAGGGTTTCTTAGTTTTCTCTCCGTGAAAGCGTGACGAAAGAAACAATTAGGAAATCCGGCGGTTTTTCTTAAGAAACGCGATCATGCCTAGTAGTGCGCAGAACCGAAGAACGTGCGCAGCGCGTTTTAAAGTTTAGGGCTCGCTCAGTCTAGCAGGGCATATGGGGGTTTCCGAAATCAGGGGGGTGTCTTGGGGTCCTTATATTTGTGGATCTATATTGGGGGCCCCCTATGTTCGTAAACCCCCATATAGCTTCTCCTCTGAAGCCCTAAATCTCCAAAGCCTGACCCTAAACCCTAGCCCCTAACCCCTAACCAACGACCCCTAAAGCGAGATCCTTGCCAGGTCTGCGTCATGGCTATTCCAACGGGCGAAGTCCGGTACATCAAGGTCCACCAGGGTTGATCTAGGGTTTGGGGTTTAGGGTTTTATGTTTTAGGGTTTAGGGCCCCCCGAATTCGGGTTCGGGGCGTTCGGCGGGTATAATTAGGGCCTTGCTTAAGTAGGGTTTAGGGTTTATAAGCTCTGTTCTCGGTTCCCCGAAACCCCTAAAACATCTACCGCAATCCCTGACCTCACAGCCTACACCATAGTGGTTTAGGATTTCTTGCGTGGGCTTCAAGTCTGGCACGGCGTGCTTGGGGCGACGCAGTTTTCACGTCACGGATCTCTCCGAAAGAACAACTTCTCAGTGGCTCTACACCCTTCCCCCCTACACCCTACACCCTACACCCTACAAACTTGTGTTGAAGCTCAGGTAGGGAGTGAAGGCATGTGAAACTCCAACTCCTCTGCCCGCGGCCCTGAAACTTTGACTCCATATTGAACCTATCTTCCTATATGCAGAAGTAGCCCCCTACTTTATCCTTCAGGTCCCTCATAAGGTCCCTCCTTTAGTCCCTTGACTTTCGGGGTTTTGGGGTTGATCAGGCTCATGCGGGTCATGAAGATGGAGTCCTTGTTTCAGCTAGTTTTTCAGGTGGCAACTGGCCCATGTAGCCCTGAGAAGCCTCTGCTACGCAAAAATCCCCTAAGGGTCCATGTCCCTATACAATACATACTTACGGCCCTAGAGCTGCAATCCAGGAACCCCTTTTTTTAGGCCCAAGTGGGTAGCCTCCTACTGATGCCCCGAACCTCCATGCCCGCCGTCCAGGAGACCAACGTGTACATTGCAACTCCCCCAGCAGCATGGGGGTGGGTTTTGGGGCTGTCGGGAACCCTAAGCCCATAAATTAAAGGGGATGGTGGCTTGTGTGTCTGTACCGCCTGATGAAAGGACATCAGGTAGGATCTGTTGAACATGAACAAAATGAATCCCTAAAACCACATCCCAGACCCTAAGCGCCAAATGCCAAACCCTACGCTGTGCCCACCTCAAGCCCAGGTACACACAGATCTGCTGCATACTTCCCTAACACTGTAGCGTACTTTCCAGGCCCCGGTCCCCCCCGCCGCTTTTTCGGTTTCGGCTCACCTTCGGGTATTACTTATCGTCGGGTAGAAGCATCAGTTCCAGGTGGGTCTTCCAGGGGCCCTGCCCTCACTCCAAACAGCCCAGGCTTGAGCAACCCTTTCGAACTTCGAAGGCCAAACCGTAACCCCAAAATTCCGAATTAAACCTTGAGTTAAACCCTGAATCCAAACCTCTCCCCTCGGCCCCAAACCCTGAAACCCCAAGCCTGCCATTTCCCCCCCCCCCCCCCCAATTTGCTTTTAGTCGAATTGGAATTGCCGCTGAGGTAACCGCGATCTTCTCCATCCTAGCGTACGTGTGGCCGCCTCAGTGCCCAGCAACATTCCCTCCTAATTCCTTCTGGGGCAGATGGCCTCAGATGTGGAGTGGCGCCTCATGTTTCAGGGGATTCTACAGTCAGAACCGCCTATTAACCACTCATTTGCGGGTTTCGGGCCGGCAGGGGCGTGTGTTTGCATGTAGGGTTGAGTCGGCGATTGAGGGTGCAAGAGGAGACTTACTTGGAGGTTCATGGTACTTATTAACAAGTTATAACTGTACTTATAACCCAATTAGCCCCTTAAGTGCCTTGAATATCATGGTTAACTACAGTTATAATTCGTACAGTTACAACTGTTTAATAAGTACCATGAACCTCCAAGTAGAGGGCTTAGCACATTTGGAGATTTCGGGGATGTTTCGGGGCGGCGTTTGGGGTTTACGGTTTGGAGTTTAGGGTTTGGGGTTTAGGGTTTAGGGTTTGGGGTTTAGGTTTTGGGGTTTAGGTCTTTGGGGATTTCGGGTTTGGGGCTTAGGGTTTGGGTTTCGGGTCTTAGTGGGGAGGGCTTGTTGGAGCAGGTCTGGGGGGTTTTGGGCTCCAACCCTCTTCTGCTGTTAAACCCTGAATGCCCTAGGAGTTCAGTGGATAAGGTTTAGGGTTTTTTGGGTGTAGGGTTTTTAGGGCTTAGGGTTTACGCGTAGGCTTTAGGGTTTAGGGCTTAGGGTTCAGCATCTCAAGTCCAAGCATTTCACTAGTACAGCTCCTTACTCCGTATCGAATATCTACCCACCCACCCATTGGATCCCACAACATTATGAATATATTATATTCTTCGTGTTTACCTCAAAACTTTAGGCTCAGTAGGCGGCCGCTCAGAGTAGGCCCTAAACCCTAAAACCAGGCCTTAAACCCTAAAACCACCAGACTAAGCCCTACACCCGAAAACCAGCACAGAGGAGGCCCGGAGTAAGCCCTAAACCCTAAAACTTGGGGCCTAGAACCAGCCCAGAGCATGCCTTAAACCCTAAAGCCAGCCCTGATGGCCATGCCTGGCCCCACCAATTTCGGTGGACAACCGCGAAGCCATTAGCCGTTAAGTATAGTTAGAAAGTGTTTCGGGTGAGATTCGTTCGTTGACCCGCCCCCGAAATGTCAAAGCAGAGCATGGCGAAGGTGGCTCATATTCATCCTGGACATGATCTCTCCGAATGCAGCAGCCGACATGTTTGCAATCTCCTCCCCAGGGCCTGTGGATCCGGCGTCTGAACCCGCCTGAAGTCCTGCATCGCCGCAAGCCGCAAAGCCCCTGAAAAGTTTAGGGTGTAGGGCTTAGGGCTTAGGGTTTAGGGCAAACCCCTACACCCGAAGCCCCGAACCCCAAACCCTGAACGCTTAAACCCAAGACCCCCCACCACCTAAGCCCTGAACTCCAACCTCAAGCACTTTCGAGGGCGTCGCCCAAACTCAGCAAAGTTCTTCACCAAAACCCTCCGACGCGCTGAAAGCCACGACACCTCATTGCCGCCGTTCCTCCCAAGGATTGGCCGGGCTCTGGGGGGTGAATGGTTTGGGGTTTAGGGTTTTGGGTGGTTAGGGTTTTGGGTTTAGGGTTTAGGGTTTAGGGTTTAGGGTTTAGGGTTTAGGGTTTAGGGTTTAGGGGTAGGTTGCGTTGCGATAAACGCCCAATTGTCAGGGAAGCGCATCATGCGGTCCTAGATTCCCCGCTCACCTCACCTCTCCCCCCCCCCCCCCGGGCAGATCCGGAACCCTCTACTTTGTGGTACTTTACTGTATCTTTAGATCCTTACCTTTTTTGGGTTTATTGGGTTTCTTATTCAGGCAGCTAAAAGTTTAATTTATAGCTACCCTCCTGAGTGCAGCCAAGTCTACTAATTACCCTAAGCCGAAAGCCCTCAACCCAGCCCGGACAAAGGGAGAGAGGTGTAGAGAGGGAGAGAGAGAGAGAGAGAGAGGAGTGTCCGAGAGTCAAACGCAGAAGCAACCCCAAACCCGGTAACCTACACCATGCATCCCAAGCCCACCTGCAAGACAACCCTTGATCCTGCCCCCCCCCCCCCCCCAAAAAAAAAAAAGAGGTAAAATGCAAAACACCAAACCCTAAACCCTAAACCCTAAACCCACAAACCCACAAACCCACAAACCCACAAACCCACAAACCCACAAACCCACAAACCCACAAACCCACAAACCCACAAACCCACAAACCCACAAACCCACAAACCCACACACCCACAAACCCACAAACCCACAAACCCACAAACCCACAAACCCACAAACCCACAAACCCACAAACCCACAAACCCACAAACCCACAAACCCACAAACCCACAAACCCACAAACCCACAAACCCACAAACCCACAACACAAAAGCCGAAACTGTCCTTCAGAGAGCGCCGCCAGGTGGTAGAGATCTGGGAGGCTGTTCCCAGCTCAGTTCGGAATTTCAGAGTTGTAGGCTTTAGGGTGTAGAGTCCAAGCTTGCCGGAGGTTTAGGATTTGGAGCTGGGTTACGTAGGGTTTAGGTTCGAAACTGTATATTTAGGTTTTCGGATTGAGGGTCTGTTCAGTTCAGGGGTTCGGAGCCACAGTTGTGGAATTTGGGGTGTTGAGTTTGCCGGCTTCGGTCGTCAGTTAGGGTTTCGGAGTTAGGATTTAGGGTTTTGGGTTTAGGTTTAGGGTTTAGGAGGGTTTAGGCAGGTTTAGGGTTTAGGGATTAAGTTGGGTAATGGGTTTAGGTTCAGCCTTTGATCGCAGGCTTGAGTCTGAGCTGATGTGCCACGATCCGATCTTGAGGGAGTCGTTGAGACTAAGTGGCGCAGCGGTAGTCGCACGGGGAGGGCCTGTGGCTTTCCAGGCACAGCAAGAGCAAGACAAGAAAGACCAGAAGGAGACAACCTTCACAGTCAATGTCAAGATTGAGATAAGGTGGTTAAATTCAACTTCGCTCCAAAGACAACGGTCGGGACAGTCGTTGAGATGCTACGCCCAAGCCACTTCCCGAGAATCTCCAAGGCCAAACTCAACACCGTTGTGTAGACCCCCTAATAGTAGGACACCCTTTTAATAAGGACCCCTATAAGGTACCCTTACTATCGTAAGCCCCCCCCATACAGAATATTCACTTCTATTGAGTTCATATTCCAGCATGGGCATTCTGAAAGAGGCTCAGTGAACTGAAGCCCTCAACACATAAAGTCCCAGACCCTAAGCCTGCCGTTCTTGGGCGAAGGCGGGGCCTATGACATTAAGCATTTTTAAACGGGTTCTTAAGGGAGGGGAGTTCCTGGGGGGGGGGCGGGGGGGAGTAGGTACTGAGGGTGGGGGTTTATGGTTTCGAATTTAGGGTTTAGGGTTTAGGGTTTAGGGTGCATGGGGGGTAGGTACCTAGGGAACCTTAGGGAAGCTTAGGGAGCCTGAGGGAGTAGTAGGGAGTATAAGGGAACCTTGGGTTACAACCCTATCATAGCCTCATGGCCGAACGTGCGAAGTTCAGAGAAATCCCAAGGTCGTGACGTTCATCTTCTTCCCACTGCTGGCGGGGCGCCTGGCGGAGCGAAACCTATAGGGGAGGCCATGGTTCCTACACCCCTAGAAGAGGCCTGTGCTTTCCCTGCAAAGTTGGGGAGGAGTTCAGTCGAAGCCCTCAGCCCTCGTAGCGAGAGTGCCTGAAGCACACCGCCGCGTTGTCCTGGTAGTTGCAAGCTCGAACAGAATCATCTCCGTCTTGATTCTTCCCCTGGCGAAGAGTTACTTCAGCCATCCCCAAACCCCAAACCGACAAAACCCGAACCCCCGCAAAATCGTAACCCCCCCCCCCAAAGATAGCCCTAAACTCCCCGCCCCCCTCAACAAACAAAAGTATGAATAAACACGCCACCCCAAAGACCACCTCCCCCCAAATAAAAAAGATACATAAGAAACAAAATGGCAAGAAAAGGAAAGAAACGCGCAAGCCCCCAAAGACAAGCTGGGCCCCAGGTCTTCATAGCATACGCGGCGGACGTCGGCTGGATCGGGGGTGGCGACTCGTGCCCGCCTCAGCGGCGGAAAGCTCGTTTGGGGTTAGGGTTTAGGGTTTAGGGTTCAGCCCGTCCAAATCCTAAACCCTTGAATCTGTAAATCCTGTAAGCCCTAAGCCCCATATGTCCTAACCCCCTTAAACACCAAGCCCTGTACCCCTAAACCCTAAACCCTATAACCCAACCTTAAACCCCACCGACAACCTTGAACCCTGAACCCTGAACCCTGGAAACCATAACCCTCAACCCTATATGACCTTAAATATACCTCCTAAACACTTTGAAACCCAAGCCCTAAACCCTAAGCCCTAAGCCCTAAGCCTTAAACCCTAAACCCTAAACCCTGAAGCCGCAGGCTCCGTGGCCGCGGTACCGTCATCACCGCCGATATGAGCCCGGAGGCCTCCGATGGGGTTTAGGGTTTAGGGTTTAGGGTTTAGGGTTTAGGGCCTAAGTTTAGGGTTGAGGGCCTAAGTTTAGGGTTTAGGGTTTAGGGTGGCCATAGGGTTGAAGGTTTTCGGTTTATTGGGTTTAAGGTTCTATTGGTTGTTCTGGATTTGTGGGCTTCCGCGGTTGATCTGGGGGTTTAGGGTTTATCATAGGGTTTAGGGGTTGGGGTTTAGGGGTTGGGGTTTAGGGATTAGCCCTGGAGCTGCCCAGGCCCCAGAGACCATCCTAAGTTCTGCAGCCCTGAAGCCCGAAGCCCCTCACCTCAGACCGACCCAGAGTGTTGTCGTTGTTATTCCCTGAAACCCTAAACCCTAAACCCTGAACCCTCTTGTGTATGGGTATCCCTTTCATTCCTCCTAGGACGGTCACCGGAACTAAGGAGTTGCCTCCTAAACCCTAAACCCTAAACCCTAAACCCTAAACCTTAATCCCCAAACCTTAATCCCTAGACCCCCAAAGCTGGAAGGAGCTGAAAGATCTTGAGGAGGACATTCGAAGAAGGCACGGTCTACACCTCAGTTTCCGGCGGGTCTTCGTAGGGGTTGAGGGTTTAGGGTTTAGGGCTTAGAGTTTGGGATGTTCCCATATGCTAACAGTAAGAGTCCTTAATAGGGATGTTATAATAGGTGGTATTGTAGTCCCTGTTAAGGCTGTTCGTATAAGAGGGAACATCCCAAACTTAGAGTGTGTGGACCCTCCGACCCATTACAGTAACCCCCAGAAAGTTGGAGCATGGTTCGAGGATGATTAGAGCTGGGATTCCCTTTAGTTTGCCTTTTGGGGTAAACCCGAAACCCTAAACCCTACGCCCTGTAAGGCCGAAAAGACCCAAACCAAGGCCCAATCAGGCGGACCATTCTTGGCTCCCCATAACGACGAGCTTAGACAATGGAGGTGGCTGGACCCCAAAACCCCTGAACCCTAAACCCTAAACCCCCCCAAAACCCTACTAGTAAATTAGAGGTCAGGGGCGCAGTTAACCACCACCAGAAAGCGGTTTCGCGAGGGTAGCAGTGAGGCCTGGGCACGCCGAGGTGGTTTGGGGTTTGGGTTTAGGGTCAGGGCTTGGGGCACAGGGCCTCGGGTAAGCTAAGGGTTTCCCATTGGGCCCATTAGGGGCCTAATAGCCTAAACTGCAGTCGTCTCAAGTCAATGCCGACCGACAAAGAGCCCTGGGGCCAGCCGGAAGCCCCCCCCCCCTTTACTCGAGGGATACTGGTGGGGTTGTGAATTTTGCAGAGCTATAGGGTTCCGGAGCTGAAGACTTTCATAGAGTCTACCCACATGCCAAGAGCCAGAGCTGAACAGCTGAATACTCAACCATACACCCTCAAACCTAAACAGCGACGAACCTCCCCTGCCCCCGCCCCCCACAAAAAAAAACAACAAGAAAGCTTTTTGACTCTGTAAATCCTACAAATATCCTCAATGCACCTGTTGAGCTGATGCCCCAAGCACCCTCTCTACACTCTCAGCCATACCTAGTACCGGCGCCAAGCCGAGGAAACAGCATCACCAGAGAGCAGGTGTCAGAGCCTCAGAAAAAAGGCTTGCGACATTGGGAGGGTTTAGGGTTTAGGGTTTAGGGTTTAGGGTTTGGGTTTAGGGTTTAGGGTTTAGGGTTTAGGGTTTAGGGTTTAGGTTTGTTGAACCCTGAGCTCTGACTCTTGAAGCCCTCAGCCCTCAGCCCCAAACCCAGACCCCCCTGCACCCTAAGCAGTGAGCCGTATGTGTTAAGGGGGTTTAAGGGTCAGGGTTGGGATGTTCCCCCTTAAAACTAGCAGTCCTCAATAGGGATGACAGTACCCCTAGTATAATCCCTATGAAGGAGCTGTTAGTATAAGGGGGAACATCCCAAGGTCAGGGCATAGTTCCCCGAGAAGCGGGTTGCACAGGACTTACCCACAGGGCCGACCGTGTCCCTGAGAAGCGGGCTCTTGCTTGGGGTTTAGGGGTTTAGGGTTTCAGGGTTTTCTCAACCCTAAACCCTAGACCCTAAACCCTAAACCCTAAATTCAATCGGGCTTTTCGGGTGTTAGGGAGCCCATCCCATTCCCAGGGCCCAGATCATGGAGATCGAGTGCAGCGAGCCCTCCAGCCTGGGGCCTGGCAAGGGATGTTCGAACGCGTTGTCAGGTTTAGGGTTTAGGGTTCAGGGTTCAGGGTTTAGGGTTTAGGGTTTAGGGTTTAGGGTTTAGGGTTTAGGGGTCAGGGTTTAGGGTTTAGGGTTTCGGGTTTAGGGTTTAGGATGGGGGAGGAAGTGAGGGCGAAGTGGCAACGTATGTTGCGTAGTCAGGCCTGGGTGGGGTTTGGAAGCTTTTAGGCGGGGGGGGGGGGGGGGCTTCTGGCCTGTAGGTCCGCAGGGAAAACAGCAGCTTCGGGACTTTTGGGTCTGAAGGAAAGTCATCACAGCAAGCAGAAGAAAACCCGGACCACGAGAATGCCACAACAAGCGCCTAAACACCTAAACACCTAAACACCTAAACCCTAAACCCTGAACCCTAAACCCTAAACCCTAAACCCTAAACCCGAACAACCCTCAGTCATACAAAAAGACCTGAAAACATCTGAGCCGCACACCCTACACCCTCAACCCTTCCGCTGCCAGCTCACGGTCTTTAGGCCTCCGGGCCGGGGGGCCCTTTTGGAGTTTCGAGGGTTCTCTGCACTATTCCTGAACCCTAAACCCTAAAGGTCCCTAACCCCTAAACCCTAAACCCTAAACCCTAAACCCTAAACCCTAAACCCCTAAACCCTAACCCTAAACCCTAAACCTCCAAGCCCAAAAATCTCCGAACTCTTCCTCCCAGGCATTGCAACCTATCGGCGACGGAAGCACCACAAGCCGAAGGTGGATATGATTCAGGGTTTAGGGTTTAGGGTTGAGGGTTTAGGGTTTCGGGCAAAGCCTAAATGGATCCATCCTGGAGTTTAGGCTTGATGGGATTTGGGCTTTTCTTCCCACCGGCTTAGGCTTGATAAGGATTACGGGTACAATGTTTACTTACAATTCCGTTGAGAAAAAGCAGGGATCCCCAGCTAGGCAATTTTGACAGCTCCACACCCCAAAGTGGTGCTTAACCCTGAGCTCTAAACTCTACACGACAGCTTGCGGGAGTTGCTTCAGGGCTCAGGCTTCTTCTGGAGTCTACAGCAATCATCTTCCACCCTGAAACCTGAATCCGTGGAGTCTTGCGTGCTGCTGTTAGGCTCTGGGGGGTTTACGAATCTTGAAGTTTGCTTAGGGGCACCCGTTCCGAACCGCACCCTCACGGCCAGGGGAAGGAAGGCGCCGCGCTCAAGCTCCCAGGGTTGTTTTTTCTCTGCGAAGGGCCGAAGGGTTTAGGGTTTAGGGTTTAGGGTTTAGGGTTTAGGGTTTAGGGACCTCCCCAAAAGTTGCGAACCCTTCATGCGCTTCAAGGTCAGCGGGAGGAGGGCCAGGTTGGTTTAGTGGCTGTCTTGCCGCGTGTCAGACTTAGTAGCCCAGTGGTACCCTTTACCCTTTTTTGTTGGTTATGGGTTCCCCTATAAAGTAACTAGCCCAAAAAAGGGTGCCCTTACTAGAATATGGTTACTGCGCTACTAAGCAGATTCCACAGAGATGCTGTAGTTCCGGTGCTCCGAAGCTAAGGCTCAATTCCTCCGACGAAAATTGTGCCCATCACTGAGGACGCAGCTGCAACTCCTCAGGCAAACGCCACACCTAAAACTTCCAAGAAGCTGTGCTGACATCCACGTGCGCGCTAACCCAACTCACTCTATTCACGTGTCAAGTGCTTGCCCAAAAAAGCAAAAACAGAGCTGTTTTTTCCCCCCGCCCCCGCCCAAGTTTGTTTTCGTAGCAGCATGATCCAATTTTCCTGCATGAGCCTATGCACTTCCAACCCGAAACCCTTCAACCTAGGGGGCAATGCTTCTTGTCCCCCAAAACCCGCAAGAAAGAATGGAACCCTACAACCCCAAAAGCCAGACAGTAGCCCGAGCTCTACAACCCCAAACTGGACCTAAACCCTACGAACACAAACAGGACTCAGAGTCAGAGTAGTCCCCCTAAACCCTAAACCCTAAACCCTAAACCCTAAACCCTAAACCCTAAACCCTAAACCCTAAACCCTAAACCCTAAACCCTAAACCCTAAACCCTAAACCCTAAACCCTAACCCTAAACCCCAAACCCTAAACCCTAAACCCTAAACCTTAAACCCTAAACCCTTTTTTAAGGGTTTATAGGTTCCCTTCCAAGCCCGTCGAAAACAACAGGGCACCCATGTTATTCCTAGGTTACTTTTGACTCTAGAAAAGCCTGAGGCCCCAACAGCCCCTAAACAGAGTCACAGAGTCACGGCCCTGAACCAAAACCCTAGCCCTAAACCCGAAACCCGAAACCCCAAACCCTAAACCCTAAACCCCAAACCCGAAACCCCAAACCCTAAACCCGAAACCCCAAACCCTAAACCCCAAACCCTAAACCCCGAACCCCAAACCCTAAACCCCAAACCCCAAACCCTAAACCCTAAACCCCAAACCCTAAACCCTAAACCCCGAACCCTAAATCCCCTTGACCTTGCCAGGACGAGGAGCAAGGCAAGGAGCCGGGCAGCCCAGGAGTTGTTGTTGGGTTTGTAGGGTTTAGGGCTAGGGTTTAGGGTTTAGGGCTAGGGTTTAGGGTTTAGGGTTTAGGGTTTAGGGTTTAGGGTTTAGGATTGTGGGTTTAGGGCTTAAGGCTTAGGGCTTGGGGTTTAGGGTTTAGGGTTTAGGGCGTAGGGTTTAGGGTTTAGGGTTTATGGGGTTTACTATATAGGGTTATAGGTTTACTGCTTGGGGTTTACAGGCTTAACAGGGTATGGGGTTATAGGGTTTAGGGGTATAGGGTTTAGGGTTTTGCTGTTTCAGGGTTGCGAGTTGAGGGTTTTGGGGTTGGTTGAAGTTGTCAGCGTCTTGGGCTCAGGCCTTGCTGCTGTCTAAACCCTAGACCCTAAACCCTAAACCCTAAACCCTAAACCCTAAACCCTAAACCCTAAACCCTTCCGAGTAGGGCTTGGGCAGTAAACCAAAGAGGTTGGGAGACGAGGTTTAGGAGCACTCTTCTTAACCTTGAAGCCCCCAAACGGAAAAGACAGACCTTGTTAAAAACGAGGGGAACCGACCCTGAAGTCGGGAGGCTTAGCAGCTGCCGGGTTTACTTTGTGGTACTTTACCGTAACTTTAGATCCTTACCTTTTTTTGGGGTTTATTGGGTTTCTTAATAAGGCAGCTAAAAGCTTAATTTATAGCTACCTCCTGAGTGTAGCCAAGTTTAGAGGGCCTTGGTTTCTCAGAGCTTTCTTTAGACTCGGTTTGCTTCGGGTCTGTCAGGACGTCAAGCCGCCAAAGTGGGAATCAACAGCTTCAGCCCTAGAACCCCTAAAGGCCCCAAAGCTCTCAACCTTTAACCCCTGAACCCGAAACCCAACACCTCCGAACCCTCAACACCCCTTAAAACACTACTTTTAGCGTTAAAGGTTTAGGGTTTAGGGTTTAGGGTTTAGGGTTTAGGGTTTAGGGGTAAACCTGCGCCTCCGGCTCAAAAGCAGTGGAGTCTCTGAAAAGCTTACGTCGCCTGGGCCCATGGCATTGCGAAGACCGCATGGCCATGACCCCGGGCATGTCGAGGGGTCTCCGTACCTAAACCCTAAACCCTAAACCCTAAACCCTAAACCCCGTTCTCACCGTCCTGAAGCCCCAATCCCTAGACCCCACAAATCCCAGATCCCTAAAACTGTACACCTGAAGGCAGGGGATCTCAGGGTTTGCTTTGGGAGTGTCTGGGTTCAAGGTTTAGAAGGTGCTTGGCGAATTTTTTGAGGGGTTGCGACTCAGGGGTCTGGGAGGGTTGGCGTGGCTTTAGAGCAGTTGGGCCTGGGCCCTGAACCCGAAAAGCCCTGAAACCCTTTACCCCAAGACCCTAAAACCCTAAAGGCCTTAAGCGCAAAAACCCTCAAAACCCTGAAAGCCTAGTTAAACCCTCTTGGGCTTCAAGGCTTTTCGGCCTCTCTTGGGGTTTTGGAGGCTTGGGGTTGAAGACGAGATCTTGAAAGCCCCATTGCGGGCCCTGATTTTGGCGGGCCCAGGGCTCCGCTGTTTGCTTTTTGTGGCAGTCTGCGGCGTTCTGGGTTGATTCTGGGGTTTAGGGTTTAGGGTTTAGGGTTTAGGGTTTAGGGTTTAGGGTTTGGGGTTTCGGAACCCAAAAGGCGACCCAGTCACAGGGGCCTCTCAAAAAGGAAGGGGTTAAGGGGCGCAGTGGTTTAGACCCTGCGGGGCTTAGTGTACCGGGGCGAGGCTTCTCAGGTCCTTTCCGGCAATCCAGGTATCGTGTAAGGGTTTAGGGTTTAGGGTCTAGGGTCTAGGGTTTAGGGTCTAGGGTCTAGGGTCTAGGGCTTAGGGTTTAGGGTTTAGGGTTTAGGGTTGGTAGCAATTCTAGTCAGATTCCCTCTTCGCAAATCCCTGCTTGAGCCTGGTGTCTTCCTGCAAAAGCTGAGGCAAGGCCAAGGCAAAGGCCAAGATAGGCTCGGAGGACCATCCCATGGATCCTGAGGAGCTCAAGCAGGCACCGGCAAGCCCTAAGCCCTAAACCCTAAACCCGAAACCCTAAACCCTAAACCCTAAACCCTAAACCCTAAACCCTAAACCCTAAACCCTAAAACCCTAAACCCTAAACCCTAAACCCTAAACCCTAAACCCTAAACCCTAAACCCTAAACCCTAAACCCTAAACCCTAAACCCTAAACCCTAAACCCTAAGCCGATCTGATCTAGCAGCCGAAAGGGTGTCGCTTTAGGGTTAAGGGTTTAGGCTTCCAGGGTTAGGTGCTTGGGATGTCCTCTGAATCCTGGACTCCGAGATCCACAGCCCTAAATCTGTAGGCTGAGGCAAGATTAGGGTTAGGGTTTAGGGTTTAGGGTTTAGGGTTTGGGGTTTGGGGTTTAGGGTTTAGGGTTGAATCCCCCCCCCCCCCCCCCCCCGCCAAGCTGAGCCTAGCCTGGGCTTCTCAACCCTCGCAAGGGATTCAGACGCGTACCTCGGACGTACCCCTGAGGATCCTAGTTGTTCCCCAAAACCCAAGGGTACAACCTTAAGGGTGCAAGGCAGAACCCTCTGCAAAAAATGGGGGTCTAACGACAAAAGGGGACCCTTAATTAAGAAAGACACCCAAATAGTAGGATTCCCTTATGATCAGGACCCCAAGAAAGTACCCCTAGACCCTAAACCCCAAACCCCACACCCTAAACCCTAAACCCAAAACCCAAAACCCTATCCCTAAGCCCTAAACCTTAAACCCTAAACCCTAAACCCTAAACCCTAAACCCCTAACCCCTAAACCCCAACCCCTAAACCCTAAACCTTAAACCCTAAACCCTAAGCCCTAAACCCAAAACCCAAAACCCTAAATCCCCAAACCATCCTGACATTGCAGCTCTAAACCTCAAGCCACAGGAGCCCTCAACATGAAGGCGATGTAAACGCGCCTTTCAGGCTTAGGGTTTGGGGTTGAGGGTTAGGGTTTAGGGTTTAGGGTTTGGGGTTTGGGGTTTGGGGTTTAGGGTTTAGGGATTAGGAATTGTCAGCCTCCAGACTCAGACCAGCAAGGTTTTATGGGGGGCTAATGGCCATTCCTGGGCTCCAGTTTCGAGTTACCTCAGCCCTGATACCCTCGCAAACCCGAAACCCTACACTTGCTCAGGCCTGTTGTCCCTAAGACTCCTAAACCCTAAACCCTAAACCCTAACCCTAAACCCTAAACCCTCAACCCTAAACCCTAAACCCTAAGCCCTAAGCCCTAAGCCCTAAGCCCTAAACCCTTCTTCTCGGCCAGCAGGTCTTCCAGAAGATTGACCTCGACGGCAGCGGAACCGTCGAGATGGAGGAGCCGTCGAGCAACTCTGCGAGGGCTTACTGGGGTTTAGGGTTTAGGGTTTAGGGTTTAGGGTTTAGGGTTTAGGGTTTAGGGTAGCTCAGCGATACCCTTTTGCACGTTTCTTGGGTTCTGGGTTCCCTTATTTTGAAGTAGTAGCCAACCCCGAAGAAGGGTATCCTTTGTAATAAGAGTTTTTAGAAGTTTTTAGGGTTCCTGATTGAGTGATGAGGGTTTACGAGGTCCTTTGGGTGAGGGGTGGGGGAGGCATCGGGGTCGGGAGGGGCGTAGGGTGTGGGGTTTAGGGTGCTTATTTGCATGCAGTTTCTATTTTGAATGGTCATTGTCATTAAAGACCATCATTACTCCTCGTCACTTTCTAGTGTTGCACATCTTCTGAGCGGGAGGTTGGAGTTCAGGCTTTTCCTTTCGGGTTTCGGGACCTGCTGAAGACCCAAATCCTTTTGAGTCTTTGGGTTCCTTGGGGTCGTGCCTTCGCCCGCGCTCGCGCGCTCGCGAGGAGCTGGATGCAGCTGCCCGGGAGCTCCCCGGCTAGCAAGATGCGGCATCGGGGCAATATGCGCGGAGTTGTTGGGTGAAGCATCCAGGTCAGGCATCGAGGGCTTGGGTTTTGGAGTAGGGTTTCCGGGTCCGTTTTGTTTGCAACCTTGGCTCCTGGGGTTCACGCTTGTTGCGTTGTAGCTAGGGTTCAGGATTAGTTTTATCATGGCGCGCAAGTCGCACTAGTAGAATTGTTTCTGAAAACAATGCAGGAGGCGCAGAAGGGGCCCCGGAGTCCCACCTTTTTCATGTTTGCACCCCCAGGGCGCAGACAAGAGACGCGTGCAACAGGTGCTTGCACGCAAAGTCTTCCACGCAAGCTGCCGTTTCCTCTCCTCTTTTCTGCGTCTGTTTGTATTTGTTGGGGCTTCCAAAAAGCACATTGTTCAGTTCAGGCTATCGAAAAGGCACCCCCTGCGGGTCCGGAGCGGTTTTTTGTTTCTTATAATCTTGCAGTCTGAGCCGAAAACGAGGTCACGAGGTGTTGCATTTTCAAAGATGGGCGCGAAGACCCTACAAACCCTGCATCGTCCAAAACCCCAAGAACCGCTGCCCCCCAACCTTTAGGGGTTGGGGGTTTAGCCTGTTTCGGGTTCAGGCAAAGACATCTACCTCTCGTCTTGTTTAATTTTGTTGATCCAACATGTGCCCTAAACCGGAATCCCCAGACATCAAGCCCGCTAAGCCAAACCCAAGAGGCCGTCAAGAGGGTATTTTTTCCCTTTTTTTGGGTACCCTATAGGCTTTGAGGAACATAGTCTGACAGAATGCCTACATGGGCCCAGATTCAGACGATCAAAGCCCCTCAAGCCTTAAACCCTCAACCCTAAACCCCCCCCCCACCCCCCCCCCCCCCCCCCCCCCCCCCCCAGGCTGGGCATTCGGTGCAGCAAGAACTCGCTGAAAAAGGCGGGACCCCCGAGGGTTGAGGGCTTACTGGACTAGGATTTAGGAGTTAGGGTGTAGGGTTGAGGGTTTAGGCTTTAGGGTTTAGGCTTTATTCCAAGTAGACCCTAAGTCCTAAAGGCGAAGCCCCAAGCCGCTAACACATGGAACCCCAGAACCGTTAACCCCAAGCCCCAGACCTCTGAGTGCTCAACCGCCCAAAGCATGACACCCGCCTTACTCAAGTTGAGGGAGGGTTTTGGGCTGAAGGTTTTAGGCCTGCTTCATCCCCAAGTTCGCCGGAGCCCTACGTACACTTTAGGGTTTAGGGTTTAGGGTTTAGGGTTTAGGGTTTAGGGTTTAGGGTTTAGGGTTTAGGGTTTAGGGTAAATCCTAGACCCTGAGCAGCGGCAGGTATTTAAACTCATCGACACTGATGGCAGCGGCTCCATCGACTTTCAGGAGGGGTTTGTTGAGGGCAGTGCGGGATGAGAGTCCGAAATGACTTGCTAGCTGGGCTACCCATATCAGTCAGAAAACTCGCAGGGTTTAGGGCTTAGAGTTTACGGGTTGTTCTTGGCCTTACGCACCAGCCCGCAAACGCGTTCACCCGTGGCTGTCGAGTGGTGAGGGTGGGCCATGTTCATTGCTTCCTGAATCCATGTGTCTAATATAGGGGTCGGGGTAATTACTTATAATGTTCCCTTATGGTCCCCTTGTAATTACACTATGATATCCCCAAAACCCCGTTCTATTTATTCAGGCCCCTACATCATGTTCCTTAGGAAGAAGTGTCACAAGAAAGGCATGGTCCTGGCAACCGATCACAAGTAAACCCTAAACCCTAAACCCTAAACCCTAAACCCTAAACCCTAAACCCTAAACCCTAAACCCTAAACCCTAAACCCTAAACCCTAAACCCTAAACCCTAAAGGACCGAACTCTTCTGCTCCTTCCCTCTCAATTCTCCCAGATGGGTATTTCCCAAAATAGGGGTACCCCTTGTCCACCCCAATAGGTTTTTCTCCCCTTCAAGGACCCCAAAAAAGGGTTTAGGGTTTAGGGTTTAGGGTTTAGGGTTTAGGGTTCAGTCCCCTTAAAGGACCCCCCAAAAAGGTTACCCCTATTTTCGGAAACCCCAGATCTTCCTTTCACCATACTAGTAGGGTAGATAAGCCGCCCTTTATTGCAGGGGAGTTGGGGGGTGCAGGTATCGCTTCAACCTCAACCCTAAGCACAAAACCATAAACCCTAAACCCTAAACCCTAAACTCCTTCTTCAGAGGAGTTCAGCGTGTTCTTCGCCAAGGCCAGCTCCCTAGGCCCCTGAGTCCCCAGATCCTTAACAGCCCTAAACCCCAAACCCTAAACCCCAAACCCTAAACCCTAAACCCCAAACCCTAATGCCTAAACCCCAACACCCCAACACCCAAAATCCTAAACCCCAAACCCTAAATCTTGGACCCCAAACCTTAAGACCGAAGTCCTGGGTTCCAAGCTCCTTGAGATTTACGCTCCCAGGCTCTGGTGGAGAGCTCCCCTCCTCCTCCTCGTTTCGGGTTTAGGGTTGCCAAGGTTTCGCTTGACACCTCCGTGGGGTGCAGGTCTTGCGTTCTCTGCATTTCGGAGAAGTGGCTCTGTTGCCGGGTAGGGGGGGGGGGGTTTTGGGCTTGCGGCCCCGTTCACTGAGGCCTTTAGAGTCCAGAAGCTCGGGAAAATCTGTGTCCACGTTGCTGCATGCTGAGGTTAGCAATCCCGAGAACATCAAGGCGCATGAAGCCGCGTTGGATCTGGATGATCATCCGTTGGTACGTTGGGGGTTTTGGGTCGACTTTATTGGGCTCTGATCGCAAGAATCCTGCGGTTGTTCGTGTCTGTGGCCCGTTGCTAGGGGTTTGGGACCTGCCCTAAACCCTAAACCCTATAAACCCTTTAAACCCTATAAGCCCTATAAGCCCTATAAACCCTATAAACCCTAGCCTATAAACCCTATAAACCCTATAAGCCCTATAAACCCTATAAACCCTATAAACCCTAGCCTATAAACCCTATAAACCCTATAAACCCTATAAACCCTATAAACCCTATAAACCCTAAACCCTAAACCCTAAACCGCAAACCGCATACACTTGGCGTAGGGCAAATGCCTTCGAGGCTTCGACCTCCCTCAATCTGAATGATGTAGCAATATGGGGGGTGTGCGAAAACCCCTTATGATATGGATTGGGGTTTAGGGTTTAGGGTTTAGGGTTTAGGGTGTAGGGTTTAGGTTTAGGGTTTAGGGTTTAGGGATAGGCCCAAAAGCCCTCGAATCTAAGAACCGTCTTGACGAAGAGCCTTCCTATGTTGATCTTTTCAGTGGGCCCCCTTTTGGCGTTGGTGCCTTCTAGTGGTCGGCACCAAGCACCATGATTTCAAGGGGTTGTTCTGACTCGTCTAGGTGAGACTGTTTGTTCTTATTTTGCTGTTGGGATCCCACTGAAACCCCAAACCCTAAACCCCAAACCCTAAACCCTAAACCCTGCACCCTAAAACCTAAACCCTAAACCCTAAACCTTTCTGCTCCTTGCCAGGAAGTGCTCTCAGAAGCCAGCGCTGCTTTCCTGGACTACAGGCCCCCAGCGCACGCGCACTTCGGCACTTGCTTCAAGTTTCAGGGGCATTTCTTTGTCATAGTTGGTCACCATTTTACATGTTTACGGGTACTTAAACCCAATAAGGAATATAATTTGAATTTTGAATATTATCCCAACCATGAACTGGATTGGGGGCTGTGGGTTGCTGAGGTGTTTTTTGTTTAGGGGGTTTTGGGGTTTAGTTTGGGATGTTTTCCCCTTCTACTAACAGAATATAGTGCCCCTATGATCATTCCGATAAAGGACTGTTAGTAGAAGGGGGAGCAACCCAAGGTTTGAGGCGTTGAAGACTTCAAGGCTGGTGATAGACCCTAAACCCTAAACACCTTAAACCCTAAACCCTAAACCCTAAACCCTAAACCCTGAGTGGCTTTGGCTTTTCAGGCTTCTCAGGGCTTCAGAGTTTAGGCCGTTGAGGTTTTGACCCCCTTGAGCCTGAAACCTGTAGACCCTGGACCTCGAGCCCGAAGCCGCGCTGAGGGTTCAGGGTTTAGGGTTTAGGGTTTAGGGTTTAGGGTTTAGGGTTTAGGGTTTAGGCCTTTGACTTTTTGACTCTAAACCCTAAACCCCTGAGCCTTCGTGGGTTTGGGGGAGTAGTGTCCTTTCTGTACAGGAGGTGGTTTCCCCTGTGAACGCCCTTGACACACAAAGGGTACCCCTGTAGTCCTAGGTTTGCTCTGCAGGCTGGTGATAAACCCTGAACCCTGAACCCTAAACCCTAAACCCTAAACCCTAAACCCTAAACCCTAAACCCTAAACCGATTCTCATGGATTTTGAGGGTCTGGGGTTTCAGGCAGGAGAAAGGGCTTCATGGGCGGCTGATCGGCTCGTACTTCACAAGAGTTCTTTCAGGCATGTCAGCAAGTCCTACTTGGAGGTCCATGGTACTTACTAACCCAACTGTACTGGTAACCATATCAGGGCACTTAAGGGGCTCATCAGTGGGTTATAAGTACAGTTGTACTTGGTTAGTAAGTACCATGAACCTCCAAGTAGGGGGGGTCGGCGACCCTAACCCTTTCAACCTTGACCTGCAAGTAATCCCTGAGGTGCTTTGAACCCCCTGGTCTAATGAACCCTTTCTTCCCTAAACTTTTAACCCCCTAAACCCTAAACCCTAAACCCTCAATTTTGGGGTTGTTTGTTTCTGCTTCAGTGCCAGGAACAGCGTGGAGCAGGATCCTTCTTTCGCGAAGCACTTCCCCATGCCCCCGAGCATGAATAGCGCCCGGAGCTTGGGGGCACTAGGGTTCAGGGTTTAGGGTTTGGGGTTTAGGGTTTAGGGTTTTAGGGGTTAGGGTTTAAGGCTGGGAGGGACGGGGGGGCGGGGTTGGGGGGGGTTCATCTCAAGATGATGGTCCCATTTTGGGTGCCCAAAGAATTGGGCGCCGCCGAATGATAGTAATCCAACAGGGACCAGAATATAGAGAAGTGACAATATATGACATGGGGGTTTCGGCGAGTGCGCATAGGGATATTGTGCGGCAGTTGTGCGATGGTGTTCTTTTGGGGGATACTGGCAAGGTAAAAAAAACATACCGTAGTTCGCACAAGATTTACAGGAATGAACAGAGTACCAGCACCCCCGAACTGCGCTTTCACCATAAAGGCAGGGTTGTATATTTATTGAAGGGGAGTTGTGGGGGTGCAGGTAGGTTACAAGATCCAGGAACCAGAAAGTTTTGGGCTAGTGCAATCAAGGGGCTTGAGTCGACACGGCTGAGATTCTCCGAGGGTTTCCAGTGCTTCGGTTTTGGGGTTTAGGGCTTTGGGTTTCGGGATAGGGTTTAGGGTTGAGGCTTCTCCCCCCCCCCCAACTCCAAGCAAAAAGGCCCAACAAATCGTCTAAGTGTGCTTCATCTGGAGCTTGTCTCCGTCTCGAGGGTGGGATAGTGTAGGATCCTAAAACATGCGACGTTGTCCAGGTTTCAGCGCTTACGGCTTTGGGCTCATGAAGCGACTTTAGGTAGGGGTTTGGGTTGTTTTTGGCGCCTACTGACGTATACAGGGACTACTTTTTAGCATGTGGTGTGTGTATATATAATGACAATAATAATAATAGTAATAATAATAAATAAGTAGTAATAATAATCATAATAGTGGATTCAGGATCCTGTCTCGGCCCTTAAACTCAGGGCTGGAGGGCGTTCGGAACTTGCATCTCCACCCTCAAAACTAGCATATTATCGCGTAGAGTCCACCTGCAGCGTTATAAGCTAGCAGTTAATGAGCATCAATTGCAAGATTCTCTCCGGCAAAAAATGGTTGAACTCAATCATGAATGGTAGGTCCGGCTTCGCCACAGCGTGCCTTCCGCTCGTGCGTGATTTCTGACCTCAGATACCGGCAGGTTGTGCATGTTTCTGAAGTTTCGAAGCGGTGCAGGAGCCTGGACGGACTCGCGTTTTGCGCTCGACTTCCTGCTGAAACATTGCGGAGTGTTTCCTGGCGGTCAGTTTGGGTGCCTAGTCAGCCTGAAGCTGCCCCACATCCTAGGTTTGCTGGTTGGTACGTTGACGAGGAGAGCTTTGCAGACTACCAGAAGCTGGGCCTCGAAGCTGTTGTAGGCCGGAACGTGGGAGGAAGGCGTGAACGTGATGACGAAAATCATGGAGAAGATCGCTAGACGCGCGGATTTCGCAGATGTTGCAGGGGTCTCGTTTTGGTGTCGTAGATAGCAAGTGAGCGGCAAGGTCCAGACGGTCGGGGTGAACGCACTGGCGGCGTGTAAGTTCTACTGCGACACTTGCTTGGCTCATGTCATTTTGGCTCCATGATACTGCAGGTGTTTCTGCGTTGTTGACGATCGTCTTTCTGTCATATTTGGTGGTGTCCTTTCTTCACGTCATGCTTCAGGCTGAGGCCAGCCGGGCGATGAGCAGGCATGGTTTTTTTGTAGGTGTGGCTTTGGGCTGCCTGTCCTGAAGTCGGTCTGCTGCTCCGCTCCTGCTTGCTCACACTTTCGCTTGCTGGTTCGTTATTGTCTGTGACATGTCCATGGCTTGACGGGGCCAGCGCTGTAGCGCTAGGCCCTTTGATCTTCCAGTCCGATGGTCGGGTAATGTTGGGTATATTCTTCATCTATCACCTGGTCGATTGTGCGTGCTGTGGCGTAAACCCTGTGGCCAGTTCTCGGCTTTTCTGCTGTGTTTCGCGGAGACTGGTGGTGTGGTCTTTCATCGCCTTCTTTCTTTCAGTCTTTCAGCCAGCAAGCTGAATCCCTTCAAGGGGCGCACATTATCTGTCTCAGCGCACGACAGACATTTTTGTCTAAGGTGCGCGTGCTTTCGTGGTTCCTCTTGGAAGACATCGGCCCATGAATTAAGAAAATTGAAGAACAAATGTGAAAATTTTTAAATGGAGAACAAATGAAGAATATCATGATAAAAATGGAGAAAAATGATGGGCGAACGGTGAAAAACGAAGAAAAACGAAGAAAAGAGCAGACCACTTTTAATGATGAAAATGAAGAGGAAAATGATACAAGCACAATGAAGAAGTTTGGCCTAGTTAAGGAAATTGAAAGTTGGCCTACATTCTGTAAGTTCCAATTTTCAATATGCCTAAGATTCTTAGATTCCTAGATTACTCCCAATTTAGGAATTAAACCATTGAAACCGGTCTGAACTCTTACATTCAATATTCCTCACAAGCCCTAGTCTTGAAATTTGCGGAGTTAAACATGTTTGAAATGGGCCCCAACCCTTTAAACTCCTTATTTCTAAATTAGGGACATGAAATTTTCTTCCGGATTTACAGGCACCGTGGCAAAATCCTTAAATTCTGAGTCGCCCTAACTTCCTAGACTAGGCTTATTCATGTAGAAACACGATCAACTATTGAATGCCGTATATTCCGAACTGAGCGCGAAACCAATTTTCAAAAGCTCATTATTTTCTAATAGGCCTACGTTCTGTAAAGTCCAAATTTGCACTTGTTTTGGGAATTACGGAGTGGTAAAAGAGCAGGGGTGACTTCCTAAATTTGCCTCAATGTAGGAACTCAATATATTGCAAAAATTCTCTAAATTCTTGATATTCCCTAAATTCATATAATGTTGACTTCGCATTAATAAACCCCCCCCCGCCTTGATTGATCAATCTCTCTGGCCAGGGCCTCCTTCATTATACCACAGTGGGCTAAGTGAGCCTCTACTGCGAGCCTCTGCCACTGCAAAAGAGGGTGTCTGCAGCCAGCAATCTCTAAACTCATTCTCTTCAAACACCCTGAAACTTATAAGTTTAAGCTAATTACAAAACATCGCCCGTGCAAAAAAAATATTCCGGACTTGATTTAATAATTGTGGGGGGCTATATTATTGTGTTCCGGCAGCTGGATTTTATAATTGTAGCGGGAATTCCTAATGTGAAGTCAACATTAAGACCCCATTTGTTAAATTCAGGGCAGAGTGTTTTTTCAGGCCTCAACTCTTAAAAACCCTTAAGTCCTTAAGTTAGGGAAAATGAAACTGTCTTCCCGGTTTACTTTCGCTTTGAAAAGCTGTGCCTTCCTTAAATTCCTAAGTTAAAGCTTATTGGTAATGTAAGGAATTACATATTTAAATAGGCGTGATTTCTTGATATTCCTCAAAATTTTCGAAAAAACCTAGTTTAGGGTAAAACTTAGGGTCTTGCAGAATCTTAACAACTGAGACAAGCCGAGTACATTCCTTAGATTCCTAAATTGGTGGAATTACAACTGTTTTCCTGATTGATTGTAAATTCTATCAGATTCTGTTTCCTCGTCATTTCTCTTTTTACACGCGGAACGCGGCATGAGGGAGGGGGGGGGTAGCATATATATATATATGTATATGTATATGTATATGTATATGTATATGTATATGTACATTAAACATGAAGGTGGACAGCGAAGAAAAAGATAGTTCAAAGAACATTCACCTGATGGCGAAAAGTTTAAACAGAAACACGCAAAAGTAATAACCAATGAAGAAAAGTAAGATGAACACCATGCGAAAATTAAGACAAACAAGTGTCAATGAGGAACAAAATGAAGAATACATGAAGATGAAAAGGATGACCCAAATGAAGACGAAACATGCAATGAATAAAAACGAAGAGGACAATCAAGAGGAAAATGACCAACAAGTATTTTCTGGATGTCCAATCTCTGGCTGGCAAAGAATCTCTCAATATTTGAAGTACACGGATACAGCATGAATAGAAACCTTTTGTTTATAAGTCACGCATCATCTACTAAGACTTTGGGATCTTTCTGTAAACCCGAGCCCTAAACTCTAAACCTCGAACCCGAAACCCTTAGCTGTTGCCAGAACTTGGAGATCTGCTCAATCCGGCTCAGGTGGTGAAGTACTCGAAGCACTTCAACGCAACCGCCGGGAGCTCATCCTTTGATTTAGGTGTCAACGTTGAAGGGTTTCGGTTTTTTTCGGTTTTTTGGGTGAGGTTTTAGGGTTTAAGGTTTAGGGATTATAGGGTTTAGAGCTTATTGGGTTTAGAGCTTATTGGGTTTAGGGCTTCTTGCGTTTAGGGCTTGTAGGGTTTAGGGGTGAGGGTTTAGGGCTTTCAGGGCGTCGCTGTTTTCGCCGCAACTTCGAACCCCACGCCTACATCTTGTCCCTGTGGATTTTGAAAGAAGATCCCTCACAACTGGGAGCCCAGGTCGTCTCAAAAAGCCTAAACCTAAACCCTAAACCCTAAACCCTAAACCCTAAACCCTAAACCCTAAACCCTAAACCCTCAACCCTCAACCCTCAACCCTCAACCCTCAACCCTCAACCCTCAACCCTAAACCCTAACCCTAAACCCTATTCGGGTGAGCCCCCAGACTCCAAGCCTTCAACAGCCCTTCGAGGTGGAATCCGTCCGATGGGTGGGCGATGGCACCTACTTGGGTGCGACTGGTGAGGGGAAGGCGGGTTTAGCGTTTAGGGTTTAGGGTTTAGGGTTCGGGTTGAGGGTTTAGGGTTTAGGGTTTAGGGTTTAGGGTTTAGGGTTTAGGGTTTAGGGTTAGGGTTTAGGGTTTAGGGTTTAGGGTTTAGGGTTTAGGGTGTAGCGTTTAGGGTTTAGGGTTTAGGGTTTAGGGTTTAGGGTTTAGGGTTCAGCATCTCAATAGGGTTTAGGGTTTAGGGTGTAGGGTTTAGGGTTTAGGGTTTAGGGTTTATATAGGGTTTAGGGTTTAGGGTTCAATGTGACAGGGCTGGTTGGAGAGTAGCTTAAGGACCCCTGTCTTTGTGCGCAGGTCTTTCTTCAAAGGTGCGCGCAGCATTCCCGCCAACAAAACCGGCACCCCTACAAACCCTTTAAGACCGTAAGAAGCCTGCAAGCCCTGATTGCCCGGTACACCCTATACAAATCCTCTAACACCTTGCCTACGCATCAGAGTCCACCTCACCTGTAGTGCGTTGTTGCGCCAGTTGCTCGTTTACGACATTGCCTCCCGCACAGACACGCCTTTGAAGACGCTCCTTTGCCGCAAGTTCAACCTTGGTTTAAAGGTCTGGAGGCTTTGAGCTTTGCACAGCTCGGGGGGGGTAACAACTTCCCACAACCCAGCCGCGCATGTTCGGACAATTTGGGAATGGAGCCATGTATCCCTAAACCAGCCCTAGCACTCCGAGCCAGCAGCTTTCGATGTCTTGTCGGGTTCCCCCCCCCCAAGGCTATGAGAAGACCTCGAATTGCAAAAGCCCTTAAACCCCAGCTCCCGCTTAACTCCGCACCCATAAGCCTCTAAACCCCTACGTCCCTCCACAATCAGGTGCAACGTTGGCCCTTCGGCCACCTGCCTTTGAATGCGCGGTTCAGAACTAAGCCCTAAACCCTAAACCCTAAACCCTAAACCCTAAACCCTAAACCGCCATAGGTTGGGGTTTCGGTTTGCTAAGGTTTGGGCTGGTGAGGGTGCCAAGCAGTATGCTGTAGAAGGTGGTCTCGATGGCCACCAGATTGTTTAGGGTTTAGGGTTTAGGGTTTAGGGTTTAGGGTTTAGGGTTTAGGGTTTAGGGTTTAGGGTTTAGGGTTTAGGGAACTTTCAGTTGGCCGTTCAATCGTAAAGTTTCGTGTGCACAAATGAGGGCGTCTCTTCGGCTGCCATTCGCGCCCGATGCGGCTTAGGATTACCTTGGTAGTCCAGTAACATTTTTTTCAGGGCAGCCTTTTGGGGGGTGGTTACTTTATAAGGCAACCTTCAACAAAAAAACGGGGTAGAGGGTACCACTGGGCTATATATATATATATGTATTTGTATATGTATATGTAAATGTATATGTATATGTAAATGTATATGTATATGTATATGTATACGTATAAAACACACACACACATGCATCACTATGACAAATTTAATGCCTAGACTCTAGACCAGCAACTAGATTGTGTTCATACTCGTAGTTCAACATATACATATATAGATATATAGATACACATTTTTGAACGCATGTGTGTATATGTAAGTACACGCACAGTTACAAGACAATGAGTATGTATATGTGTGTGAAATTGAAAGTTGCGTTTGTTCGGTTGTTGGAACTTTTGTTTACACTTCCAAGAATTCGACGTGAATGGAAAGCACCACACATAGGGCCCCGCGACGCTGCGGTTTAGGGTTTGCGGGTTTAGGGTTTAGGGTTTAGGGTTTAGGAAAACCACCCCCCCAAAACTGCATGGCTCACTCAGCACGAACTGAGCACCAGGTCTATTGCATGGATGCCGTTCCTGGTGGACGAGGGGTCCTGCTGGGCTACGGCAAGAAGTCGGACCCCAGCCCGGCCCCTTCAAACCCTAAGCCTCCTAAAGGTTATAAGACTTGGGGTATTCCCCGTTATACTAGCGGTCCTTGGTAAGGATTATAATACAGGGCACTCCTGAAGCCACTAGGGTTTAGGGTTTAGGGTTTAGGGTTTAGGCTTTAGGGTTTAGGGTTTAGGGTTCAGGGTTTAGGGTTTAGGGTTTAGCCATAGGCCCCTGTGACTGGATTCTGTCTGAGGGTAGGTTCATGGGCCCTTAATCTGGTCCTAACCCTCCTGCAAGGTTCAGATGTATGGGCCCCTAATTTGTATAGGGTATATTTGGAGTAGACAGGGGGTCCCCTTTTTAAGGGCCCATACTGAGGGAGCATGTAACTTCCCTAAGACACTAGAACCCCCTAAACCCTAAACCCTAGACCCTAAACCCGACACCCTAAGATTCTGGGGAGTTTGCGCAACTGGGCCCCTATTAGGGTTCAGGCGCTTCGCCTCCTTTCGGGCCATTCAGGGGTTTAGGGAGTTTTGGCTTGGGGGTTTGGGGTTTAGGGTTTAGGTTTTAGGGTTTTTCGGGCCAATTTCTTTTCTTCGAAGGCAAGGATGCAGGGTGCGTAGGTTCCCGCCTTTTCCTCGGTACCGCTGCTCGGGGTCAGGGGGAGGTTTAGGGTCTGGGGTTTAGGCTAGGTTTAGGGTTTAGGGTCTAGGGTCTAGGGTTTGGGGTTTGGGGTTTGGGGTTTAGGGTTTAGGGAGCAACCCCAAGCCCTAAACCCTAAACTATTGATGTTCCGGATGTCGATTCTGCCATTGACAGGACAATCTCATCTTGTGGGATATGGGCGAGGAGCAGGCAGCACAGAGATTTGAAGGTGCAGGGCTCAGCGAGTCGGACAGAAGCACGCCAGCCCAGAAGCTTTATTAGGGTGTTGGGGTGTAGGGTTTAGGGTTTAGGGTTTAGGGTTTTAATTTGGAGCTCGGCACCCCGAGCCGCAACCAAACGCCAAGAAGTACGATAGGCTTTGGCCTTCGCAGTTCTGTTTTTCGGGTTTGGGGTTTAGGGTTTGGGGTTTAGGGTTTAGGGATTGGGATGTTGGGGTTTTAGGGACTCCCGTGCCCAGAACCTTTCTGCTAGCCGGCCTGCGCCTGCGAGGTCTAACTAGGGACCCTTAATCTGATTCCCCTATATAACCCCCCATATGCACCTTATACAGTCCCTTTATACCTAAGTAGCCCCTATATGACCCCTCAGCAACCGCTAAGGTCCCTTACGAGCTTATATAGTCCCTTTGCACCTAAGTAGCCCCTTAAATAAGCCCCTAAAGAACCCCTGAGGTCCCTTATAAGGGTCCCTTCCTTAGTCCCTTGAGACTGTGAGGCCCTAAACCCTAAACCCTAAACCCTAAACCCTAAACCCTGAGGTCAAACCAGCCAGATCTTCTCTTGCTGCCTTGGGAGCTCGACGGTCTTGTCAGGCGCGCTTTCCGCGGCAAAGCCCGAAACCCCAAGCTTCAAGCTGTGCTGCGGCCAATTTAGGGTTTAGGGTTTGGGGTTTAGGGTTTAGGGTTTAGGGTTTAGGGTTTAGGGTTTAGGGTTTAGGGTTTAGGGTTTAGGGTTTAGACCCGAAACCCTAAACCCTAAACCCGACAAGCCCCAAAGCCTAAGCCTATAAGCAAGGCTCCAAGGATGGCCTCATTGTGATGAATGACATCGAGACCGGGACGTGCATATCTGCCTGGCAGGTGCACGAAGGCCCAGCAGCCCGAGCATTTAGGGTTTAGGGGTTTAGGGTTTAGGGTTTAGGGTTTAGGGTTTAGGGTTTAGGGTTTAGGGAAACCAGAACCCCAAACCCTCAAAGCGTGACCTCAAAAACCCTAGACCCTCAACCCTTCAAACCCATGCTAAGCCCGCGTGGGACTCGGGAGTGGTACGGCGTTGGAATTTGCGGTCTAGGGTTTAGGGATTTAGAGATGCGAACCCTAATCCCTAAACCCTAAACCCTAATGGCCATCTGCAGACTCGAGTGAAGCCTTTTCCTAAACCCAAAACCTTAAGGCCCCTAACACCTCAACCTAAGCCCCAAAAACCCCCAACCCAAAGCCTTAAGCCCCTAAACCCTAAGCCTTCACCCCATAAGCCCCACGCCCGTTGCAACCCAAACCCTGGTGTCCCCCAAGCCCTCAACCTTCACCTCTACAAGTTCTTGAACCTATTAAAACCTAGATGCCCTGACCCTAGACCCTAGACCCTAAACCCTAAACCCTAAACCCTAAACCCTAAACCCTAAACCCTAAACCCTAAACCCTAAACCCTAAACCCTAAACCCTAAACCCTAGACCCTAAACCCTAAACCCTAAACCCTAAACCCCGTAGACGCGCCCAGGAGCCTTGTAAACCCCGTAGACGCCTGCACGGGCTTCCTTTCTTGACTCTGGCTTGGGTCCTGAGGCTTTATGACTCATAATGCAAAAACCTCAGCCCTAAACCCTGAACCCTAAGCCCTAAACCCTAAGCCTTAAACCCTAAGCCTTAAACCCTAAGCCCTAAGCCCTAAGCCCTAGCCCTAAACCCTAAACCCTAAACCCTAAACCCTTAGAACCGTCAACCCCTGAGTCCACAAACAGGATTCGGGATTGTCGGGCCAGTGGAGTTTGCCGCAAGAGCCGAGGATCCTCGGCCCGAATCCCCCGGACGCGACGCCCGAAGTCCTACAACCCTAAGCCCGAAGCCCTCAAACTCCGAAGTGCTGGGTGAGGCTTTAGGGTTTAGGGTTTGGGGTTTGGGGTTTAGGGTTTAGGGTTTAGGGTTTGGGGTTTAGGGTTTGGGGCCCTAAAGCCCTAAAACCCTGAACCCTCAAAGCTCTCAGCCCCTGCAATAACCCCTTCTCGCATCCCTGGTAGGCTTGGTGACATCCCTTGCACTGGGCGACGACGGCCACAAGGCCGAACCAGCCCGTCTAGTTGGGGTTTGGGGTTTGGGTTTAGGGTTTGGGGTTTAGGGTTTGGGGTTTGGGGTTTGGGGTTTGGGGTTCAGGGTTTAGGGTTGGGGTTTGGGGCTTCGGGTTTCGGATATTTTTGGGTGAGCTTTGGGGCTTAGTGCTTTAGTCTCGGGGTTGTAGGGTTGTCGGGTGAAGTGGTTTAGGGGTTCGGGGGGGTTTTGGGCTTAGGGGTTTGGGGCTCCGCGTGTAGGGGTTTAGGGTTCACAGCTTCAGGGGTTTCAGGATCTTGGTGTTACCCTTGAGCTAGAACACCCCCCCCCCCCCCCAAAAGAAAAAAAGTAGCTCTGGCCAAGGCAAACCCTAAAACCCGAAATCCTAAACCATAAACTTTAAACCCTAAACCCTAAACCCTAAACCCTAAACCGTTACCCTAAACCCTAAACCCTAAACCCTAAACCCTAAACCCTAAACCCTAAACCCTAAACCCTAAACCCTAAACCCTAAACCCTAAACCCTAAACCCTAAACCCTAAACCCTAAACCCTAAACCCTAAACCCTAAACCCTACCCCTAAACCCTTGGCATATGTCTGGGGGTTTCAGGGCTTGATGGGTTGCCCTACTGCAGGTGGCCAGCACCTCACGGGATGGCCGAGTGGCAGCCTGGCTTCAGCCCTGAAAGTCACAAAAATTCGACTCGTGGTTAGGGTTTAGGGTTTGGAGTTTCGGGTTTAGGGTTCAGGGTTTAGGTTTCTTGCAGCTTTTTAGGGATTAGGGTTCAGGGTTCAGGGTTCAAAACCCTCCTAAACCAGCTCAGGACCGCAAAACCCTGAGCAAAGCCTGCAACCCCACACGCTGTACCGTAAGGACCCAAGCAAGCCGTAGGGCCTATAGGCCTTAGACCCTAGCCCTAAACCCCAAACCCCAAACCCTAAACCCTAAACCCGAAACCCTAAACCCTAAGCCTAAACCCTAAACCCTAAACCCTAAACCTTAAACCCTAGCCCTAAACCCTAAGCCCAAGAAAGCTCGCACCTGGCCTGCGTACTCAGACGGCAGGGGGGGGTATCCAGAAAGTCGGACTCCCTTAGGCGCTCACGCGTGCCGATTTTCAAAACCACGTTTAGGGTTTAGGGTTTAGGGTTTAGGGTTTCGGGTTTAGGGTTTAGGGTTTAGGGTTTATAGGGGGCTCCCGGGTGGAAGGGAGGGTTTCGGGCCCACATAGTTGTGCAGAGTACGAGATTCCAGACAGGGTCGGGTGGGTGGGGGCTCTGGTTCATTGTGGGTTCGGGGGTTCGGGCGCAGGCTCCGCCCTGGTGTGGCTTAGGGTGGGTTTAGGGTTTGGGGTTGAGGGTGAGGCTTCCAGGTTTAGGGCTTTCACTCTCCCCCCCCCCCCCGCGTGGTTCATGGCGGGTTTATGACTTGCCCTCCCTTTGTAGGGGGCCGCATCCCTAAACCCTTAAAACCCACCATTTAAAGGATGGGTTTAGGGTTTAGGGTTTAGGGTTTAGGGTTTAGGGATATAGACCCTATTGCGGTTTTAGGGCGATGTCGGCAAGGTGATCTTCGACACCAACGCCGGGATGTGGCCTTCCTGCAAGATCTCGGACATCGAGGCAACTGCGGGAAAATGGCTACCCGCACCTGAACTACCCCAGGGGTTTGGGGTTTAGGGTTCTAGGGTTTAGGGTTTAGGGTTTAGGGTTTAGGGTTTAGGGTCTTGGCTCGTGACATCTACTTACTGCTCCTTGGAAGATGTCCTCACTTTCGGCTCCGGGGTGATATGTGCGAGGGAGGTCCGGTTGCTACGTTTGTTGGTCTATTCGTCGCATCTGTCTTGGTCGCATGACTACAGCCCAGCATGTCGTAGATTTTTTCCCGGGTGCAAGTCCAGGCAACCCGAAACTCTAAACCCTAAACCCGAAACCCTGAACCCTGAACCCTAAACCCTGAACCCTAAACCCTAGTCGTATGTGGCCTCTTGGCCGTCATGCTTGGCATTCGAACGTGTCACAGCTACGGCTGAGGGCTGCAGGGAACCCTCACCCCTAAACCCTAATCCCTAAACCCTAAACCCAATACCCAAAACCCTAAACCCTAAACCCTAACCCCTAAACCCTAAACCCTAAATCCTCACCCCGGCCAGGATGCCGCTGCAGGATACAGCGTTTGCCAAGCCATTTGGAGTGGCGCAGCTGCAACGACCTGCCCTAAACACGTCGCGCCTGAGGCGCCTTCGAAACGTAGACCTTAAACCCTAAGCCCTAAACCCTAAACGGCCCTAAACCCGAAACCCTAAGCCCTAAACCCTAAGCCCTAAACCCTCATCACATGTCATAAGCAGAAGCCCTCAATCTTGCAGGTTGGTATCAGGGCTCCGCTATAAACATGGAAGACTCAGAATGAGAGTTCTATCTGGGGCCGAAAGGGAAGGGGGGAGGGGGGGGGGAGTGATGCTGCAGGCATTAGGGCACCTAAACCCTAAACCCTAAACCCTAGTATGGTGGCCCCCTTGTGGGCAAAGTGCTGTTCACTGAAGGTGGCCCAGAAGAGGTCCTGTCAGCTGGAGACGACTACTGCGTGAAGCGCTGGGACATTAGGCGGGGCATCAAAGAAGCCGTGAACCCTAAACCCTAAACCCTACACCCCACACCCTAAACCCTAAACCCTACACCCTACACCCCACACCCTAAACCCTAAACCCTAAGACCTCGCCGCCCCAACCTACCAATGGATCCCAGGGTGGAAGCCATGAAAGGCTGGGGATATTTTGCACCCCAAACTCCCTAAACCCTGAAAAGACATCTGGCAACAGCATAGGTGGCAGTGGGTCTTTGAAGGGGAGCTTTTCAGGGAGGAAGCAGGGCTTAGGGTTTGGGGTTTGGGGTTTAGGGTTTAGGGTTTAGGGTTTAGGGTTTAGGGTTTAGGGTTTAGGGTTTAGGGCTAAGGGTGCCAGGAATCAGCGCGAACCGCCTTTGGCCAGCTACATGGGCCATACCTCGTGTGCCAGGGCCTCATCGGGACAGTGGTGGGCCCCAACCCTCGCGGCTTGTGGGCTTTCGGGTCACCCGAAAACCCTAAACCTAAACCCTAAACCCTAAACCCTAAACCCTAAATAAACCCGAGGAAGGTCCCGAAGCCTCCTCCCCCCCCCCCCCCCTTCCCAAAGGGGATGGAAGTGACAAGGAGGTTGGGGAGCTTTTTCGACCTGGAAGTTTAGGGTTTCGGGTTTTGGGCTTGGCCCTCAGCCGGGGTTGTGGTTTTGCTTGCTACATCGCTCTAGACCATCTTAACCCTAAATCCCATGCCCCAAACCCTAAACCCCAAGCTAAACCCCAAACCCTAGACCGGCTAGGGCTAATTTGGGGAGATAGACAGGCCCCCTCCCGCTCCCCTTTCCCCCTTGCCAACTCACCACTGAAGCCCCATAGAAAACGAGTTCCTGAGTCCCCCCAAAGAACCCCAATTTTAGGGTTTGGGGTTTAGGGTTTAGGATTTGGGGTTTAGGGTTTGGGGTTTAGGGTTTAGGGTTGGGCGTTATGGTTCGGAGTTTGGGACTTCGGGATTGGGCCTGGGGGTTAGGGGTCCGGGTGTACGGCTGGAGCTTTAGGGCACCCTCTCATGTCACAAAGCCAAAGCAAAAGCAGGGTTTAGGGTTTAGGGTTTAGGGTTTAGGGTTTAGGGTTTAGGGTTTAGGGTTTAGGGTTTAGCAAGTCAGGTTCGGAGTTTGGCGCTGTCTCCCGATGGCCTCATGTTCGCCTCTGGCGCGAATGACAGCCTCCTGCACCGCATGCAGAAGCAGCGTGAAGCTATTCGGGTGGGTTTCCTCAAATACGGGTACCCCCTTGGTGGTTCCGTCTATAATGATTGCAAGATTTTCTTTGGGGTATCCCTAAACCCTAAACCCTAAACCCTAAACCCTAAACCCTAAACCCTTTTTTTTGGAACAACCACCATTTTGATATTCAGAGGTTTGCCGGTTTACGGGCTTCCTGGTGAGTTTACGTCCTAGCCCGCCAAACCCTAGGGCTCCAAATACGTAGCCCAAAGTAGGTAGTATCTTTTACCGGCTTTAGAAACCCTAAACCCTAAACCCTAAACCCTAAACCCTAAACCCTAAACCCTAAACCCTAAACCCTAAACCCTAAACCCTAAACCCTAAACCCTAAACCTACTTACAGGCTTTAGACCCCAATGTAGGTATTATTTGTATACTTGGAGCCCTAGAGAGAAGGTACCCCGACTTGGACAGGAAGCATGCTCAAATCAAGCCCCAAAAGCATCCAAACCTAGGCTCCGTCCGCATCTGGGCCTTAGATCCCGTTGAGTTCAGGACCGCACGCTCTTCGGGTTCAGGGTTCAGGGTTTTTAGGGTTTGGGATTAGGGTTTTTAGGGTTTTAGGAAGGGTTTAGGGTTCGGGTTTAGGGTTTTTATTGTTTCTGGGCTTGCTAGGTTTTTTATTTTTTTTGGGGGGGGGGGGTTTAGGGGTTGGGGTTTGGGGGCTTTAGGGTTTTTGCGTTTCCGCTTGCAAGTTTTTATTCGAACGGGCTACGGGATTTGTCGATAATCAGCTGATAAGTGTTAAAAGGTTTGGTATATTTTGGGGTATAGGGTTTCAGGGTTGAAGGGGTTTAGGGCTACCCTAAACCCCGAACCCTAAACCCCAAACCCTAAACAACCTACCTAAACCCCAAACCCGAAACCCTAAGCCCTAAACCCTAAACCCTATACCTTGGCGCTTTCAGGAGTCTAGGGCCCTAAACCATCCGAAGCCCCAAAGCCCACGTGCCACCCCAAAGTCCGGAAGCTTGGAGCTCAAAACCTTGGAGCTCTAAAGCCCGGGAGCTCCAAAACCCCAGGGTTTAGGGTTTAGGGTTTAGGGTTTAGGGTTTAGGGTTTAGGGTTTAGGGTTTAGGGTTTAGGGTTTAGGGTTTAGGGTTTAGGGTTTAGGGCTAGGGTGTTTAGAGTCAGGCAGCTTTTGCAGGCAGGAGTGGACGGGGGTTTGAGGGTTTCGGAAGGGGGTTCCAGGTTCTTTGCAAGCTTCAGGATTTAGGGCTTAAGGCTCTTGAGCTTTCAGGTTGACCCTATTTTTGTTTTTTGGGTTTAGGGTTTAGGGTTTAGGGTTTAGGGTTTAGGGTTTAGGGGGGGGGGGGGTTCGGGTTCTTGAGGTTAGGGTTTAAGGTTTAGGTTTTTTCGGTGAGTAGGGTTTATAGGGTTTAGTGTTTTGTTCTTGACAGGGTTTAGGGTTCGCTTTCAAGGTTTTGTTGTCGTGAATCGTTCTCCAGGAATGCTTCCGCGATCACGGAAAGTGGCGAGAAGGTCACCGCCAAGAGCAAGGGTTAAGGACCCCAGGCCCTAGATCCTAGAATACGCAGACCCATAGTCTGGTCTTTCGTGGGGGTTCTTGCTGTAGAAGCGCGTGAAGCCACCTCTCGGGCAGGCATCCGACAATTTGTAGGCTTTGGGGCTCGTGAGGTACAAAGCTCATGGGATCTTGCCTTGGACCCCTAAGGTTGTACCCTTGGGTTTGGGGACCCTTAAGTCCAAGATCCTCTAAGGGAGTATACTACTATTTGCTTAAGAACCTCCAAGCAATTAAGGAACAACATAATAATCCCTATATTACCTGATGAGGAAGAATCTTTTTTATTTGTTTGGGGGTTCTTAGGCAATTGGTAGTATCAGGGCCGTGTTGGGAGTAGATTAAGGTGCAACCTTGTGGGGTACAACCTTGGGGGGTACGACTCTTCCGAAGGGGTTTAGGGTTTAGGGTTTAGGGTTTAGGGTATATAAGCTAGGTGGGACTTAACTACAACTTTATCACTTTATAAGTTTAGGGTTCCTCTAATTTCACATTAAAAGAGCTAAAAGTTAAAAACTTTTATTAGAGAGCTAAACAGCAACCAAAAAAGAATGCCTATTTAAAGACCCATACGAAGGGACCAATGTATCTAACTTCTGTTCGGCTCCCGGGGCAATCCCAAACCGGAAACCCCTATCCTAAAGCCTCGAACCCTAGACCCTAACACCTAAAACGCTGTGCCCAACACTAAACCCTGAACCCTAAACCCTAGACCCTAAACCCCTGTGTCTTTTGGGGGACTGGAAGCTTAGAGCGGAGTAGACGGGTCTTTCTACGGACACTCCGTCCAGAAAGGGAGCCCATGCTCCCAGCCTCAACCCTAGGCCCCCGAAACCTTGAAGCAAAACCGAACCCGAAGCTTAGAGTTTAGGGTTTAGGGTTGAGGGTTCAGGGTTCAGGGTTCAGGGTTCAGGGTTCAGGGGCCCTGGCCTCGACCCTCTGTGCCCCACAACACAACACCAAGCCTCCCCGAAATCACATCTTGGGAGGTCAGCGATCTCCTAACGCAGCTCAAAGAGCGGCGGGAGCAGGCAATTGTTTTTTTTTTAACTTAACGTAAATCAGACTTGTAGGTTGGAATGTTCCTCCTTATACAAACAGTTCTTACTCGGGATTCTAGTTATTATAATCCCTACCAAAGGCGTCAGTGAGGTTTTCTTTCCATTTGCCAACAGCCAGAGATTGGAAACCCTGCCATCATCTATCCCTCGCTCGTTCGTTCGTTCGAGAGAGAGAGAGAGAGAGAGAGACACAACAACAGCAATAAACAAGACTTCGGGCGACCCCTTTGGGGGTTACGTGCACAGAAAGGAAGCCAAGAAGGAAGGAAGGAAGGAGGGAAGGCAGGACCAAGAGAGCCAACTAAAATCCCAAGACTCCAAATCCTAAACCCTAGAATCGAAGCTTTAGACAGGAAGAGGGGCCGAGAGAGTTCCCTACTTAAACCCCAATGCACCAAACCCGAATTCCTAAATCGAAGCATCAAGCAGGAACAGGGACCAAAAAAGCCCCCAAGCCCCAAAACTCTAACCCCTCAATCGAAAGACTAAACAACCCCAAGCTCTGCACCCTAAACCCTCAAACCCTCAAACCTCAACCCTCAACCGCTTCACCCTGGTTCAACCCATGCAACCCTCACGCCTCAATCCCTCAAAATCCCTCACCCTGCCCCTTCAAGCCGACCTGCAACGCTCAACCCTCAACCCCAAACCTCAACCCCAACCGCTAAACCGCTAACCCAAAAAACCCTCAACCCTCAACCCTAAACCCTAAACCCTAAACCCTAAACCCTAAACCCTAAACCCTAACCCTAAACCCTAAACCCTAAACCCTAAACCCTAAACCCTAAACCCTAAACCCTAAACCCTAAACCCTAAACCCTACCTCTGAAGCGCAAAGCTGGCGAAGGTGATCGAGCTGGTCCACGCCGGCGAGGGCGACCCGGCTGAGGTTCGGGAGCTCAATGAGGCGCCACTTGCAGGGGTTCAAAATCCTTATTTAGGGTTCAAAAACCTTAGTTTTAAAGTTTCGGCCTGCCAAAAATAAAACCCGGAAAGAGCATTAACGGTCCTTAATTTAATGGCGGTGAGTTTTTTTTCCGGGCTTGTAACAGGCACGGGGGGGTCCCTCCGCGACAAACGTTTGTAACAGACCTGCCGTGTCCGCGACAACCCTCCCCGCGACAAGGCTACAACCCCCCCCCCCCCGACAAGACAGCAATACCATTGAATTTTCTCATTGCCAATCTCGATGCGACCTTGATGCGTGTCTGCAGCAACTTTCACTCTAAGTCCGCGACAAGGCCTGCGACAGGGCGCGACATACCCGCGACAAGCCGCGCGACTGCTCGAGCCAGCAGGTGCCCATCCGTAGGACAACCTTGAACGAGAAGCCCAGGGTTTATATTTACAGGGTTCAGGCTTTAATGGCTCTCCGGTAAAATCCCTGCGGTCCCTAAACCCTTCATCCGAAACCCCAACCCTAAACCTAAACCCTTTACCCTTAAGCCTTACAAAACCCAACTAAGAAAATTGGGTTCAAAGTAGCGGCGCGACAAAGGTA